GATTGCGGAACCATGTAATAGAGGTCTGATTCTCGAAACGAAGTAGTCGTTCCACCTCGGCCCCAGTGGTCTGCCCTGGCTTTCACCACTCGATGACGGCGAGCCATCCGCACTAAAGGAGGATGAGCTCGAAGACTCCGAGCTTCGAAGTGTTGAAACTGTGTCATACTCGTTCTTCGGTTCCACAATAGCGCCAAATACGACAGAGGTATTGACTAGTGGCGAGACGGCCCTTGGTCGCCCGCGGGACGAGCTGGAAGATACGGTCTGCGTCGTACTCCCGACCTTGGAACGAAGGTCTACGGAGTCTTTACTGCGGACTGAAGAAGGACGTGGCGAGCGAAAGTAGTGGCTCGCAGGGATCTGCGGTGTCTCGAGGCGATGCGTATTGGTGCTTGTCGGTCGACCGAACGTTCTATTGGAAAGAGGTGTTAGGCGGCCGCTTAGGTTGGCATCGGGTCTGGCCGGGTTGGGCGAGTCGACATAAGCCCGGTTGAGGTCTGTCCGTGAAACTTGACGTCGCCGCAGTTCGCGGAGGCCGTATACCTGGCTGGCTGTTAATTCATCGGTTCGAGTCGCGATTTCGGCAAAAAAGGGTTGATGTCTCACCTCTGGCTTCGACGCGTTAAGGTGCCTGGCGCATAGAACGACCAAATGATAGACAGCCGGTCCTAGGAAGCCACAGAACAGCATTGTGCTATGTATGAGCAGAATAGCGTATCCAATTGCGCTCTTGACATGAAGAGTGGCGAGCCCAGGTATGAAGGCGATCATGAGAGCCAATGTGACGAGTCTGGAAAGGGCAGATATTGTGCCGACTGACCAAGCGGGATACGCCTGGAAGCCAAAGATACAAGCGAGAAGCACCAACTCGCAGGCAATAAGCATAGGCAACTGGACCAGAGGGGTGATTTGCAGACCGCCCACGGCAGCGCCGCGGATGAAAGCAAGAAGGAAGAGAACCACAATGAAGGCTTTCCCGTGTTGGTCGCTCGACGTGGACGCAGATATTTGCTGGTACCGCTTGGAGTCGAAAACCAGAAGACCAAGGCTTCGCACGGGAATCTGGCGTACAAGCCAGACAAACGCAGCGATAATGACGACAATCAACAAAACGGCCAGTGATGTGTGATAACCAGGCACTAGGGCGGCGTAGGTGATCTGGTAGCAAGAAAGGGCTATGAGAGGCATGGTGAAGTACGAAAGAACAACGCGAAGAATACGGTTGACTCTGTGTTGCAAACCATGGTTCATGACGATTGCCTGTGCCGCCATGCCAGTCTCGCCAGTCCGAGGCGCACCGAGGCGAACGCACTCGAGTAACGCAGCAGCCAAGGCAACAACCACGACCAGGGCGATGACCAAGTTTGTCCAGGTGGTCATGGTGGTAGGGGTGCCTACGATCTGGTGCATGAGATCGAAGCCGTGCGTGCCTCCGTAGGTACCGTTGATCTCGAAGATACCGTCCGCGCTGCCAGGATAAACATGACCGTGGGTGATGGGGCCTGTGAGGAACAGAGAGTACCAGTTCAACTTGCTGACAGCTGGGCGGTAGAATCCGGGATACCAAAGGCTGAGGCTGCCAGTCAAAAAGATGAACTGGAGGTACTGCAGGCAGTCGCCTACATGTGGCAGGACGGGACGAGCCGAGTGAGCCTCTTCGTCTGATTCGTCATCTGCTGTGAGGCGGATGGGCCTGTCAAAACAGCTGCGTAGGATACCGACGGCGAGGATGAAGAGGAAGAGGCCAAAGGGAGCCCAGCGCAGTGTCGAGGATACGGTAGGGCGCAAGGCAGGTGTGATGTTTGCCTGAAGGCAGACCAAGGCGTCGCCAGTTGCAGCAGAGGTCAGGTAGATATCCGAATGGAAAGTCGACAGCGGGCTCAGGCGGCCCAGGTCTTGAGTGACCAAGGTGCTAGATGCATTGACCATTGTGTAGCGCCCCTGATTAACCGGTTTGCATGTAGTAAGCACATGGTGTTCGAAGCGGGCTGTGCGTGTGAGAGTTTCGACAGTAAAGTCGACGGTTACGTTTGAAACCTGGCGATCGCAGTGGTGCTCGTCGCCAACTAGTAGGTCAATGACCCAGGCGAGATGCTGGTGGCCGTCATCGGCGGTCTCGATGCTCGCACTCAGGCTGGAGATGCCCGGTAGCTGCTGCTGCGGCGACGGCACCGGCGCGCGAGAAGAAGCCGGGTCACAAAGCTGATACTGAACGTAGGACGTCGAGACGGATGAGACCAGAAGGCTCAAGAGGCCGAAGCGATGTGCGAGCATGGCAGTGGCCCTTTGCCGTTCAGCACTTTGGGCGACCGAGGGCGGAGCTACGCATTGGCGGAACGTTGAGCAAGCAGGCCGGAACTGGTGCTGCAACTATTTGCCAGTACGTGGAGGACGTTTTACAGTCGATCGTGAGTTGATCAAGATGTAGCACGTTGGACCAGGCAGGGACTTTAACGCGCCTGTCAAATACGACCGACTGGACTAACCCCTGAACCAGAAATCAATTTTCATCCCCACTTGGCTTTCAACGGTTGCCTGTAGCGTGTGTCGGGCCTTTGTCGATTGCCGGGAATCCCCATGACGGTGCTGACTCGGGGAACGGGTTGCCGCCACCCCTGCCTCGTCGGATCTGAGGTAGCATGGGCGGGATCGTATCGTGGAGAATTAGGGTTTGCATACACGAATGTGAGAGAGTGGGAGAGGCCTTGGCAATGGCAAGGGGGGCAAGACGGTTGAGAGGCCCTTAATAGGGATGCCGCGCGCTGTGCTCGTGGGTTTGATGCTTGGGAAGCCGAAGTGTCATGGATGCATGAATGGTCTTTTTGAGAAATGGGTAGATGTAAAGAAGTGAGTCGATGGACGGAGAAGCTGCATGCGTGTAGATGCGTACCTAGGTACCTTCCCCATGACCAGGCGTCCAGCGGTGCCAGTTGCTGCACGTACCTACCTAGGCAGGTACCTAGGTAGCGACCCATACCCACCCTGAGTACCTACGTTGGTACTGCCTGCCAGCCACCGCCCCCTTCACATGATCTCATCGCACTCGCATTGCTCTGCCTACCTAGGGAAAGTGTCAACTACGGCTGGGCATCGCCTTCCTGTCCGCCTCCTCGCATCACGCATCACGCCTGCCCCAGTCGGGATGCCGCCGCCGCCGCCCGCCGTCGCCATAACGCCGTTATGCCCGAGATGCTTCTTCCACGCTGCTTCCTACTTGACACCATGCTCCCGCCCTTCATCACATGGCGACGACCAGAACATGTCTCCATTCGCGCCTTGAATCTGTCTTCTTTCGTTGCTTGAAGCGTTGTCCACCTCCCTCCGCGCCTTCCGTCCGCCATCATCCCACCCCCTCAGCACTCTCCACCATGGCTCTCACCGAGACAGCACCCCTCCTTGGCTCCAACCAACCTCATATTCCGCCAGGTGAGCTTTAACCTACTCGCTCCGTCACGCCACGCTTTGCAGCCCGGATGAAGCACACGGGAACAAGTGAAACGGAATGAGGAATCTTGCTGATGCGCCAAACCTGTTCAGCGCCATGGTCCAAAGCGCTGCCATCCGCCAGGGACCCGGCACGCCGCCTGCCGCAAGCCATTGCTCACCGTGGCTACAAGTCTCGCTACCCCGAGAACTCCATGGCCGCCTTCCGCGCTGCCGTCAATGTCGGCACGCACGCCATTGAGACGGACATTCACCTCTCGGCCGACCATGAGGGTGTCCTCTCCCACGACGGCAACCTCAAGCGCTGCTTCGGCGTTGACAAGCCCGTTAGCGCCTGCCCGTGGTCCTACCTGGCCACCCTGCGCAGCCTGCGCGCTCCTCACGAACCGATGCCCCGCCTCGTCGACCTGTGCGCTACCTGGCCGAGCCTGGCCGCGATAAGATATGGATCCTGCTGGATGTCAAGGTTGACGACGACCCGGATGCCCTGCTGAGCGCCGTGGCTGACGCTGTCGACGCCGTGCCAAGGTCGGATGGCCTGGCCTGGGACCAGCGCATTGTCGTCGGCTGTTGGACGCAGGACTTCCTCCACGCCTCGCTGCGCCATCTCCCCTCCTACTCGCCTGCTCACATCTCCCACTCGCCCTACAACTCGAACCGCTTCCTGGATTGCCCCGAGTATGCCGGCCTGTCGTTCAACATGCTGCAGCCGACGCTCGTAGGTCCTTATGGCAAGCGCTTCATACAACGTGTCAGGGCGGCCCCTGATGCCGAGGAGCGCCGCTTGTACGTGTGGACGGTGAATCAGGTCGAGTGGATGGAGTGGTCGATCGAGAAAGGCATGGATGGCGTCGTGACAGACGATCCTGCTGCGTATCTGAACGTCCTGAAGCGTTGGGAGGAGGCTGCTGCCGAGGGGTCCGAGACTGGGAGCAACGCGGCTGAGCAGCAGACCTCGACCGGCACCGAGAGTCACCCACCGGTAGCGGCTAAGACGACTGCCACTGGCTTGAGGCGCTGGACCTGGTTGTACTTCCAGGTCGCCGCGATCCAAGTTCTCCTTATGCTCCTGACACCGTGGCTTGTACGACGCTCAAGGTGGAAGTTCACCAAACCTAGCAAGAAGAGCGTGCCCAAGGCATAATGGTCTCGTGGGCCCTTCACTGCATTGTGTTTTGGTATCAGAGATAGAATTTGCTCGCCAGCGTATGCTTCTGATCACGATGATCTGGCCATAGCCCTCTTCATGTGCCCAAGGTGACCAGAAGTAGGTCAAATAAATGAAGGTCCCATGCCCGTATTCCGACGTTCAATACTCAACGCCTCGCCCCATTTGCGCCCTTTATCCTTGCCAAGAAAGTGAAAACCCCCCGAGGTTCGAAGGGGAGAAAAACGCCATAGCCCAGTATCCGGCCCAACATGGTCACATCACGCTTTTTGCTCTTTGACGACGCTCTCCCAGCTTCCCAGAGACCAGAGACTCCCCTTCCTCTCTCCTTCGAGGCGCGACGCGTGGTCCCCGTGGCCCTGCTGCTCCTCCTCCTTCTTCTTCCGACGGAAAATGTTGCCAGCACCTCCGATGCCCACGCGTCCGACGCCCGACTTTTCGCGCGCCCGCGCCCTGGCAATTTCCTCCTCGAAGCTGACGGCCGGCCTCTCCCCCGCCGCGTGCACGTTGCCGGCGCCGCCGATGCCCGAGTAGAACCGGCGCGTCGAGCTCGAGGGGGCCGCCGTCCGGGCCGTCGACGGTCCCGCCGACGAAGCAGCCGTGGAGTTGGAGGCAGCGGCAGCGGCAGAGCCGGAAACGGAGGAGGAGGAGGAGGAGGAGGTCACCTTCGAGGGCGTGGCGCGGAAGGTGTTTCCGGCGCCGCCGCGGCCGGTGTGGATGCGCGTGTTGGGCGCGGCGGTCGGGCGCGGGGTTGTCACGAGGAGGTTGGAGGATGTCGTCGCCATGATCGATTGATCTTTTGGCGCCTGCTTCTCTCCTTCTCTGTGCGGCCGACTCTTGCGATGTCAAGGTGCTTTGTTCTTTCGAGGCGGGGGGGGGGGCTGAAAGCGGCTCTTGACTGCGTTGAGGTGAAGAGCGAAGAGAGAAGAGCCCTCAAGAAAAACCACAATGCAAATAAATCGTTCTTTCACATTGAACCTCGCCGTGAGGATATTCGGTATGAACTGGTCCGCAAAAGAGGTACGAACTACGGCCCTTACGTCGAGCAAGTTGGTGGGAGCCCCTACCAGATATAGACATCCTCTCTCCACCTCGGCCACCGTACCGACATTTGCGTCCAAATGCCATCAAACACACTTCGAGAGCAGCCTGACCCCCGCCGGACGAATCAGATACACGCCATTTAGTGTTTATTCTTACCGCTTCCAGGGCTCATGCCACAAGTGGTCATCGCAATGATGAGCGGCTTCCTTCGGGGGGGGAGGGGAGAGAGCGACGGCAGAGCAGAGTTGGGGTTAGCGGTGCGGAAAACCAAACGATGGGGTAATTGTAGAGTAAGAGAAACAGGTCCGGCCCCACCGCCAGAGACACCACGTGATGGTCCGTCATGCCGCTGGCCGCCCACGGTGAGCTACTGGTAAAGCGGCCAGGTAGGTTATTGCTACCTGCTCCCTAATTACTTATCTGATGTCAGATCAAGCGGCCGCGGTGACGGTCACAGTGACGGGTCTAGCAGTGTTACAACCCGCGAGTGGCTCGCTGGTTGGTCTTCATACTACACCCGTCGCTAGGGATAAATAATCAAAAATACATGCATGAAGAAATATCGTTGCCCTGGTGGTGGAACAACACTATGCCTCAAGATCAGAAGCACATCACGCATCATGGACAATGGCGGTTGAAGAGCGAGGCGGATCGCCGCTGGTATTAAATACACCCCTGGAAACGAGCCCATGCCCCTAATAAGCTATCCGTCCATCCACTTGTCGAAATCAGCTCGACTGGTTGCGACGCGCAAACCCTTCTTGAAGATTTTGGAAATGTCCAAATCTGTCAAACCCATGTCATGCCCTGCTCTGTTCCTCTACCCTGCAGGCCGTTTGGCCTCTGCAGCAACTCCCTTAGAAGCAGTTGTAATCGCTGCAAAAACGCAAAGTCGTCAATTGCGTGGTCATGCCGTCGTAAACTACAGCAGCCATATGCTGGCTCTCTTTCTCTCCCGGTTCCACTCATTCAACTGCTCTTCTCCATCGGTCTCTGCTGGCTCTCAGTTGATGCTTGGCAGGATCGCAGTCTCGCCTCATGATTATAAAGAATAATAGAGTGTGTATCGAAGCTATCCAGCAGCATCGACCAGATCGGGAGTAGGGTGTTCGTGGAAGTCAAACTCATCGTCGCAGAGGACGGAGTAGGTTGTGTAAGTTTGTCTTCTCCCTCTTCTAAAAGGTGTCTGTCTCATCGCTTGCGACTGTGCCAAAGGTGGCTGGAGGCGGTCAGCTTCACTTTCTGGCCGTGGCGGTGAACTGCGACTTACCCCTCTTGCGACGCCGCTCCTCACGAGCTTCTTCCTCTTCTGCGCTCTTAGGCGTCATGGCTCGAGGCCCACTTGGCCGCCTGGTAGGCACCCCCAGGGCCGCGTTGAGGTTGCGGTTCTCGAGTCTCGGGCTGTAACCACTGGCATGAGTGCCGGCGCCTGTACCGTAGCCGCTTTCAACGCTGTTATATGGCTGAGGACTGTTCTTCGATAGCCTGGAAACCCTGTCGGTTCTGGTCGGGGTCCGGCTGCCGTCGTCGTCCATCGGCTCCTTGGGCGGACGAGGGGGGCCGGTTGGGGAAGAACCCCAGTATTCACCACTGGCGGCGCCGGCAGCTCCGCCAGCGCCCGTGGCCCCCGTGGCGGCGGAACCACCACTATAACGGTTGCTGGTTTGGGGCGGGAAGCGGTTCAGGCTCGTCACGGAGCCGTGCCAATCGGTTGATCTGGGGGACATTGGGGTGTCGTACTGGTGTGCCTGGGACTCCAGGGCTGCCTGGAATCGTTCAGTCTGGCCTTGTCTGGGTTGCGGGTGTTGCAGGTTGAGCGAGTTGCGGTGTGCCTTGTATTTGGGGTCCTCTGGCGTCATGTATGTTGCAGGCGGAGGGGCCCTGTTATCGAGCGGCATGCTGACTGACTGGGGCAGATTGGTCTGCGAGAAGCCGCTGTGCAGCTGTTCCTCGTCGTAACGGTCCTCCTCAAACGGACGTCTATCGTCATATTGACCCAGGTCAGAACCTGAACGGGATGGCGGTCGTTGGCTGTATTCGTCGTCGTTCCCACGTTTGCTGGACATGCCACTCCCGCGGAAAGCCTTGCTCACGCTTGTCGCAGTGGACTCGGACCAGCGCGAGATCTTGGGAAACCAACCGGAGGAGCCTCGAGACTTGTGCTTTTTGCCCTTGGTGGTTGTAGGCGTGTTCTCGTTACTCAGCGAGGCCATCATGTTGGAACCCGGGTGGGGGGGCGTCGCCAGGGGTACCGAGCCGCCACGCTGAATGTCTTGGTGTGGAGGACTAAGCATGGCCTGGTGGTTGCGTCTGTGATCTGCCTCTTGCTCATAATCCTCCTCGGTGTCCTCGGGGACAGTGCTGATACGATGATCCGAGAACTTGCGCTCGTATCCAAGTTTGGTTGAAGGACCACGTGATTGAGGAAGAGACAGCTGCCCAGATTGGCTTGCATGACTGGCTGTCGAGGTACCAGCGTGACCTTCAGGTTCATAACCGCGGTCCTGCTCATACGCGACTTCAGGTCGGAGGTTTTCGAACGATTGCCCCTGACCGCTGGATGCCATGGGGCGGGCCGTCTGAGCCTTCAGGGTGTCTACTTCAGCCAGCAACTGGTTCAGCATGTCTTCAATACGGCCGAGGTCGTTGGTGTCCTTGGCACCAAAGCTCTTCAGGAATGCTCTGCGGAACAGATTATTCTTCTTGGTTGTCTCATCCACGGTGCCATCTTGAGATGCGCCGCTGAAACCCTTGACAGAGCGGGGCGCGCTTCCAGGGAAAGGTCGGGGGCCGCCAATGATATTCTTAACCGTGTTCTCGGTGTTTTCCTGGACTTCCTGGATGATGACGTCTTCGGTGTTTGCAAGGACCTTCTTTATCTCTTCGAAGGAGTTTCTCATCTCGGCAGCGGATCTGACCAGTGTAACTAGGATCTCGGTGTCGCGTGCACTGCGTTGCGCATCGCGAACCATGAGATGCTGCATCAGAGCGATAATGTCTTTTGACTCGATGCGCTCGATTCCTGCTCCCGTAGCCGCATCGTAAATTGGTGAGCCCATGCCTTGAGACATACCACTGAGGTGACGAGAGTGTCCCTTGGCTGGGGTGTAGAATGGATCCTCAGCGCCCGCATCGGAGAAGCTCATCATGGCCTTGCCCTTGGGTTGAATGCTGGGTGAGTGGATAGGCCCTTGAGAGATGTAGCCTTCGTCGAAATGTTTCTGTCCTGCGGGGCTCCCGGTGTGATAGCCTGCGCCAAAGCCGTCGGGATCAAGGCCGCGAGCATTGAGTAGATCAGGGTTGACCACGGGGCTGGCGCCATCGTAAGGGTTTGTGATAAGTGTATCTCTTTTCCGGTCAGTCGAGGTGCGTTGCCACTCATCGTCTGGTTCTTGACTGGCTTGTCGATTGTGCGCCATGGCAGCAGCTGTTGCAATCGCAGCAGCGCCGGCGGCTGTTGCCAGACCAAGACCTGGGCCATCGCCTTTGGTTTCATCGTCATACTGGTCATAGGCGGCTACGTCACTTTGGCGAGGTGTCGTGACGGGAGCCCACTGCTGTTCAGCGCGAGTCTTGTGATTAAGCTCCTCGCGGACGAGAGATGGGTTGGTAATGAGATCATCGTCAACATACTCGGCCTCGGTCATAGGATCATGGAGTCCGGGCATAGCACTTAGCATTCTTCTTGTGCTCGTCTTCTTATTCCTGCCCGTTTGATTCTGTGATTTGGGGTTGTTGGCGAGCTCGCGCCCATCCATTGTCCTTTCCTTGAAAGACTTTGTTTCTTGGGAATCGCCCTCGGCCACGAAGTCTTTCGTGAACCTTCTTCTTACAGTAGGCTGCATTAGATCGGTCTTTGGGCGGCTTTTCAGTGCTTGCGGCCGCAGGCACCAACTGCTCCAAGCGCATAGGCCTTTCTCAGAGGCTGTGGG